AGGGAGAGGAAGAGAGAGAGAAAGAGGGAGAAAGAGAGGGAGAGGGAGGGAGAGGGAGAGAGGGAGAGACAGGGAGAGAGAGGGAGAGATAGAGAGGGAGAGGGAGTGAGAGAGAGGAGAGAAAGACAGAGAGATAGAGGGAGAGGAAGAGAGAGAGAAAGGGAGAGAGAGGGAGAGGGAGGGAGAGAGGAAGTGAGAGAGAGAAAGGGAGGGAGAGAGGGGGAGAGACAGAGGGAGAGAGAGACAGAGAGAGAGGGAGAGAGGGAGAGGGGGAGAGACAGAGAGGGAGAGACAGGGAGAGAAAGAGGAAGAGAAGAATGAAAGAGAGGGAGCGAGAGAGAGGAGAGAGGGAGAGGGAGAGGGAGATTTAGGGAAAGAGGGAGATTAGGGAGACAAAGGAGAGAGAAAGGAAGAGGGAGAGAGAGGGAAGGAGAGAGGGAGGGAGAGAAGATAAAGAGAGAAAAGAGAAAGAGCGAGCAAACACGGAAGGAAAGAGGGGGAGAAGTGGGGCACATGGAGGAAAGCAAAGAATCTGGCCATTCGGGAAGAGGCTCGGGGAGAGGGCAGGCCCGTCCGAGCTCAGGGTGGGGGCGGGGACGCCCATCAAGCCCTGCAGGAGGCAGGGATCAAGGGATGCGGGAGGACCTGGAAGCCAGAGACACACAACTCAGTCATCTCTCCAAGCCGTGTATGGAGGCCTGTAACCCCCCCCCTCTCAGCTTCTTCCTCCCCTGCAGGGCACTGGAGGAACGACACAATGCTATGGAGCAGAACGGATCTCTTCTGGGGGGACCAGGTCCTCCACAGTGAGGTTCCAGGGGGACCAGGTCCTCCACGGGGAGGTTCCGGGGGAACCAGGTCCTCCACGGTGAGATTCCGGGGGGACCAGGTCCTCCACGGTGAGATTCCGGGGGGACCAGGTCCTCAACACTGAGATTCTAGAGGGACCAGGTCCTCCACAGTGGGATTCCAGGGGGACCAGGTCCTCGAAGGTGAGGTTCCAGGGGGACCAGGTCCTCCACGGTGAGATTCCGGGGGGACCAGGTCCTCCACGGTGAGGTTCCGGGGAAACCAGGTCCTCCACGGTGGGGTTCCGGGGGGACCAGGTCCTCCACGGCGGGGTTCCGGGGGGACCAGGTCCTCCACGGTGAGATTCCGGGGGGTCAGGATCCCGTGGAGCCATCGTCGACTGGACGATCCCCTAAGGGAGGTCCAGGAAGTTACCCCAAATGTCCCTCTTCCTGCCGGGGCCTGAGGGGGTTTAAAGTCCATCTGAGGCCCCCCGCGGCGGCCTGCATGGTGTCTGACTGACACGTGTGTGCGAGGACGGGGAGGACCTGGGGTTGCCCCCCCCGCAGCCCAGTGGACAGAGAACCCGGCAGGAGGCGGCTCGTGCGCAGCCCAGGTCTGGCTCTCTGAGACTCTAATGCTTTATTACCATCCCCATCTCCTCCCCTCAGGGCTCCTCCAGGCCGCACAGGGTCTGTACACGCCCATGTCTCCGGCCTCATGTCCACGTCTGCTGGAGCCTCAGGCTCCGGGACAGCAGCCTCCACAGCATCTGGAGGGAGGACAGCGGCCTGCACAGCATCTGGAGGGAGGACAGCGGCCTGCACAGCATCTGGAGGGAGGACAGCGGCCTGCACAGCATCTGGAGGGAGGACAGCGGCCTCCACAGCATCTGGAGGGAGGACAGCGGCCTGCACAGCACCTGGAGGGAGGACAGCGGCCTCCACAGCATCTGGAGGGAGGACAGC